CAAGTATGAGTAGTACCAAGAATGGAAAGCAAGGGTAAGTTCCACAGGGAATAGGGAGCGTCTGGAGAGGGAACAATACCTTGGGTGGTTTGGAAAAGCTTTATTGCAGAAGTGTGATGCTAGAGATGGGAAAAAATTACAAGAGAACATGTCTTGAGCTGAGAGTCAGCAAGTCCAAAGCCCTGGAAAGGTGAGAGATTAATTCCTGGGTTGCAGCAAAGAAGAGAAGCCCTCTGCTGACTGCACAGTAGTCAAAGAGAAAGAGCAATAGAGGAGGCCTTTAAGGCTCAGGTTCAGTGTATATGACTGAGATCTTATTGTCATGTCACAGGTCATGAGCAGAATGAAGTGACTGGATGATGCACAATCATAATGGTATTGGTATAACTATTACTATCACTCCTGATCAATTTGCAAAGAGTCCTGGGACTGACAATATAGCCAGGGAGCTTGGACTCAGGACCAAGTGAAGATGATGGAGTAGCAACACAACGGAGGGACCAGGACCTGGAATACTATGTGCAAGAAGGATGCAGAGAGCAGGTTTAAGCTGCAGTAAGAGAGCACAGTCTGATTTTATACTCATGTTTGCTTTGCTTTTGGGTTATCTCTATGCTGACCTCTGGCCTCAGTAATATATAAGAGTAATTTGAAAAGAACCCCTTCTCCCAACACTATTTATCTATAATGGAAAGTTTCTCGGTACAAGAATTGCCACTTCCCATGATGAATTCAGCCTGAATTTCAACTTGGACATGATCAGGAGTAATTAAACTGGGGTGGGAAATGATGGAACTAGCCATGGAACTAAAAATCCTTGACTCCTTCCAGTTTTGCTTCAGATCTATAAAACATTTGTAACTCTTACACTTCTCATCTCCCAATTCTTAGCCAGCACATTTCCATGACACAATTCTCTCCATGTACATATTCTGCAATGAAAGTAGCAGCAGTCACAAGAGGTCAATTTAGTTACAATAACTGCTTAATAGAAGGGCAAGGAAAACAGTTAAAACAAGAATTTGGTGTCAAGTAGACATAGTCACAGGCTTTTAAAAGTTTCAGTTTTATTGTATAGGTGAGGTACGGATGCATAAGTCAGGTAATGAGTACATTTCTTTTTGAAGAATGTTATCCCACCCCCTCATTTCTTCCCACTTTTCCCCTTACTGACCTCTCTCCTCCCAAAGTCACAGGCTTTTAACTGAATATCTTTCCCCTTTTTAGCTTGTTTGGTTGTGCAGACAGAGCCTCAAGTAGCCCCATAGCATTTTAAGCTGCTCCCTGTTCTTCCAAGTTGCTCAATAAGCTCCTTGATGCTGGTAGTTTTGCCAGGGCCTCTATACCACAACCTATCTGGAAGCTTGGAATTACAGAATAGGAGAGTCTAGAGTAGTCCATGTTAAACAACTTCATCATGGACGAAGAATGGGCCTGAGGCTCTGTTATGAAGGGAAAGTGTGAACACCCCACTTGATAGGAAGTGGTTTACAATAACCTATGGGTCTGTGTGAATCATTGAGCAGTATTGGACAAGTAGAAAAAAATCATATCTAAAATCCACAAAGCTAATTGACATTAGTGAGTGGCTTCAGGATGTTATCTTAAGGGATCCATCTGTCCCCTGCCTGTGCATTGTAAGGGTCCTTCCTTTTATTCTTTTGCTTCTCCACTTTCCACATTGCATCCTGATTGATCTCTTTTTCTTCCCACTAGGGGTGAATGGGAGGATACTTCAAGCCTATTTTCAGCCCCACAATAGGTATGAGCACTTGATGTTTACACATGGAAGGGAATTCATCTCCTAGGCCTCTTTATCTGAGGGAAATGCTTACATCCTCTTGAATTCAACAGGTGGCTGATGAGTTTTCTGTCCCCTTGGATCTCTGTGAGCTGCCATTGCATCCCTAAGTAGGTGTTTGAAAATATAAAATGGCCTGGTAGATTTGCTGTCACTGCACTTTATATGTGGATGATGATTTAGGAAGATTTTGTTGGAGTTTAAAATTACTTTAGAACAAGCGCTCTTTCTCTCTTTATGTGCTTGTTAAGATATCTTGATTGTCATGACATCACAGGTTCTAGGAATAAGTCTTACAACCAAGAGAAAAGGTGGTTTCATCTATCAATTGCCCAACTTGGGAGAGAGCTGGTTGGCAGGAAACAGCTTATTCCACCCACTCATTTAGGCTTGTTTCAGAATATTCTTGGTAATAATGGAAAGACATTTAGCTAATCAAATCATAGAAGTAGTTCATACTATCTTCTGAAGATCATGGTTGTAGACCATTCTAGATAAACAAGAGGAATAGCAGAGAGAAGCCAATTCAATCTGGGCTGTGGTGTTCATAGGCATAAAGTACTAGTTAGCTTATTAGTAAGTAATTAGAGGGATGTGAAAACTAACAGGACTTTTTTCAATCCCTTGATTCAAGTATAATTCCCTCTGTGACAGCTGCAGAAAATCCATGACCTAAATCACTGAACTTGGGTATTTCCAAGGAAACCACCAGACTTCCCCATTGTCTTAGATTAAACACAATTAATGAAATGGCTAAAATGCCCCAGAGGTCTTTTGTGGAATTAGATCAACAGATTATTATTTATAGAAACAATAGAAAATGGTGTCTCTCATGAAGAAATGCTTAACTTTTCTATCCATAAAAGAAATGCAAATCAAACTAAATTGAGATTCCATCTCACCCCAGTTAGAATGACTATAATAATCAAGAAATCTAATAACAACAGATGCTGGAGGGGATGTGGTGGAGTGTAAACTTGTTCAATCACTTCAGAAAGCAGTATGGAGGTTCCTCAAAAGACTATACATAAGAGCTCCCCTATGACCCAGAAATCCCACTTTTGAGCATTTACCCAAACGATCACAAACAAGAACATACTAAAGCTACCAGCACAACTATGTTTATCACAGCATTATTCACTATAGCTCAGATATGGAACCAACCCAGATGCTCCACAATGGAATTATAAATCTATGCCTCCATCAGAAAGAATGACATTGCCCCATTTGTTAGGAAATGGAAAGACTTGGAAAAAATTATGTCAAGTGAAGTAAGCCAAAGAAACATAGGTCCCATGGTTTCCCTTATTTGCAATAACAGGTATATGTCTCGGATAATCTTACCAGACAAGCAGAAAAGGTCAAAAGCTATGTACATATGACCATATAAGATGATGCTAAGTGAAATGAAGCCCAAGATAGGGACACAAGAGGTTTTATCTTTGTCACTGTTGTTTTTAATGTACTGTGTAATTTTTTTTGTTTCTTTTGTATGTTCTTCTCCTTATGGTATAACCCCTGTTTTCACTGCTCTGCATCTTGTATATACATTTTTCTAATTTGGGGAGGGGAAGGGAAATAACAAAAGGCCAAAACAAGGATACAGGTGGACCCATTGTAACAATGACATGTACAAGACACTATGTTGAAAACAAACTTTACAACTATGGGGTGGAGAGAGGGAGGAGGTAGGAAGGGAAGGGATGTTAGGGGAAAAACAAATGAGGGGATAACAATGCCTGATAGGAAATGTACTCATTACCTTACTCATGTAACTGCCACCCCTTTGTACAGTATCTTTGCAATAAAAAAATAAAAAAATGGTGTCTCTCCAGCCAATACCCCATAGGATTAGAAATTTAGTAAATTATCCAAGGAGAAACAAGAAAGGAACAAACCCTAAAACCCCAAACAAAACAAAAAACACAGACAAAAGGACCCATGTAATGTTCTAAGAATCGAGGCTCAACTGGCAGAATAGCTCAATGTTAGAGCTGGGACTTGATCACCAGCATTGTAAAATAAAATATAAAATAAAAACTCCATAAAATGAAGTTACAAAAAGGCCTGAAAATGTCATAATGAAAGTCTTGTACCATGTATAATATATATATATATATATATATATATATATATATGACAAAGAGAAAAAAAGAATCTAAGATTTTCCCCAAGGCAAAGAGCTGACCAAACAATGAGGGTCAAAAGAACTCATTGCTTACCAATTACTCAGAGATGGGCACAAGTCTTTCTCCAAATTTTAACAAAATATGGTTGGCACCAATAAAATCCTGGGGCTTCAGAATAAATATAGATTGGAATTATCAGCCCCATTTTACAGATAAAGAAACTGAGGCTCTGAGATTCATCAGCAATCTTGATGTCTAGAGGACTGTAAAGCCAGGGACCAGTCTTAGAACTTGGGACTATTGTGTGTAGACATTATATTGTCTCTGTTAACAGTCACACCTTTACTAGGCTCATGGGGGAAAGGTGATTTTATATGTATGTGATTTCTAAAAAGCAAGGATGCAGTTGAGGATGAAACGGGGATCCAAACAAATTTCAGAAAGGAAGAGAAACCCAGTGATGGTTGCTCACACCTGTAATCCTAACAACTCAGGAGGCTAAGATTTAAGGATCACAGTTTAAAGCCAGCCTGAGCAGGAAAGTCTGTGAGACTCTTTTCTCCACTGACCACCAAAAAGCTAGAGGTAGAGCTATGACTCAAGTGGTAGAGAATCAGCCTTCATCAAAATCAAAACAAAAAACAAAGGTTCAAGGACTGTGCCCCCCTACACACACACCAAAGAGACTAGGGTGTGAATATGAACTCATAACACACAATGCCCATGGGACTGGCTCAAACAGTAAGTACACCATCTGGAAAAAGAAACAAAGGTAAAGTCTACACAGAAAGAATACCAAACAGAAAATCAATATAGACCACAGATCAACATCTCCTGTTTTTTTTTTTTTCTCTAAGCACTTATTCCTGTTTATGATATTGCTTGGCTCTAAGCTAAAGCTAGCTTGTTGGGTGGGTAGGTGGGTGGATGGAAAACAAGGGAAAAATCAGTAGGAATTGACATTCTTTTTAATCTGAGCCTCTCTGTGGTGCAAAACTTCAGGATTTCTTTGACAGAGAATGTTTTGTCTATCCATAGCCTTGCAAACTCTTTCTCTTCTTCTTTCACAGGCCGGAGGCTCTCCATCATTTTATCAGGGACTTATATGTTGGAAGAAAAAACCTGCTCACTGAATTTTAAGATCACCTTACAGAGAAGAGGTTGATAGTTAAGTACTTACACATCATAGGAAATTGAAAAAAGATTCATTGGAGGAAAAACAGTATGATAAATACTTGCTGGGTGAATGATAAATTATTTCTGAGCAAACTGGGAATGGAAAAGCAAGTTACAAGGCAAAAGTCCTGTGGATCAGAGTTCTGTTACAAAAATGTTTTATGAGAAGCATAAATGTGCTTCCTAATACAAGTTAATTGGGTACTTACTTGATTACTTCTGTTGAAATTCTGATGAGGTGGAGAAAAGGAAAAGGAAAAAAAATTCAGTTCAATTGCCTTTTGGGCATTCAGAGGGCCGTTCCTGATGCAAACATTAACAAGGACTATTTATGTTTTTTGCAGCTCCTGTCAGGTATCCTTGACACACATGGATGACAAATTCTTAAAATGTGCAATATGATGAGTTTGGATTTAAACCTATACTTGTGAAACTGTGACCACAATCAAGATGGCAAACCATCCATCATGTCTAAAAGGTTTTTCACGTTTTCTAAAAGTATCTCATTCCTCATCTACTTTGTGTTACTGTAGATGTTATTTTATAGACTTAGTTTTACATAAGTAAAATCAGTCAGAAGATTTTTCAGTACTGTGGCTTGATCAGGGCTTCACACATACTAGGCAGGAATTCTTGCACTTCACACACACACACACACACACACACACACACACACACACACACACACACACACACACACACACACACACACACACACACACACACACCTGTCCTTTTTGCTTTATTTTTTTCAGGTAGGTCCTCAGCTGTAATCCTCCGGATTTTAGCTTTCTGAGCATCTGGCATTGTAGACATGAATCACCATGACTGAAGCAGAAGACTTTTTCAGTCTAGCCCTTTTCATTCAGCAAAATAATTTTGAGACTCACCATCTTGTTCTAAATGAAAATATTTGTTTCATGCCTGAGTAGTACACCATATTGGGGGTTTTTAGTGTTTAGTTATTATTTTCATGGGTAGATTAGTCAGTTAGTTGACTCACATTCTATTTCTTTAATCTATAGTTTTGCGAGGTTTATCACAGACTCAGTAAATGCTGAGAATCTCTTGGAGCAGATTCTATTAAAGGCAATTAATGTCCTTTAACAAGTATTGATGAACCATTATGAAATTCCAGACATTATTCTAGAAACTGGAGAACAGAGGATACTGGAATAAAGAAAACAGACATGAAGTCGGGCGCTGGTGGCTCACACCAGTAATCCTAGCTACTCAGGAGGCTCAGATCTGAGGATCAAGGCTCAAATCCACTTAGGGCAGAAAAATTGGAGAGAAAAATCTGAGAGGTATTTATCTTCAATTAACCAGCCAAATAAGCTAGAAATGGAGGTGTGGCTCAAGGGGCAGAGCACCAACCTGGAATGAAAAAGCTAAGTAAGAGCAGGAGGCTCAGAGTTTAAGCTCTGGTCCCTGAACAAACAAATAAGCAAACAACAGCAGCAGCAATGACAAAACCCCCAGAAATGAATCCCAGCTCTTATGCTCTTATATTCTAATAAGAAAGGGACAACAGATACCATAACAACAAAAATGATCAATGACATCTATCAGATGTCATTCCAAGGACATAGCCCAGATTTTGACAGGCTCCCACCAATTGAACTGATTCTAGACTTTGGTGAGATTTTTTTCAAACCCATGAGGTCCCCACGGAGATCAACTTTGAAGAGAACTTGAAAGAAACCTGAAGCTGCCATGAATAGCCAGGAATTAGAGCCTGAGTCATTACTTCCCTGGAAATCCCCCTCCCCCTTCCCACCTGCATTAAGCTTTTGTGTCCACCTGGAGGATTTGGGCCAGACAGTGGCCACCACAGTCTCCTTCCTGGAATTAAGCCAGGGTTTGACTTTGGGAAGACCCTCCCTACCCCATCCCCCAAAGAAACATATAGCTTGTCACATTATGTAAATATGCCATTTCTGTGCCAACTATAAACCTGGACTGAGGCACATATGTGCTTCACGAATTCCAAAGACTCATTTAATTTTGGTTTGGGGGAGGAACGACAGCAGGGGCAGGGAAAACTGAAAGTTCCAGGAAGCAAAAATGTTTTGCTCCAACATTGATGAAATAGGGTGTCCTCAATCCACAGCCAAAGAAGGTTGGACATTTTCCTCTGTGCTATTAACTCTTGCATTTCAGCTAAGTTTCTGTAAGTAGAGAAAGGGAACTTCCTCTAGCTGCCTTGGACCCTTTTACTCCCTGTGATCTGGCCCTTATCCAAGATAGCCTGAACTTTCTGAGAACTTGATTTCCTGTTCCCACTGCCTTAGCTGATGAGGACAGAGGACTAGACTGAACAGTGGGGAATCAAGGGCACGGATTAGTTTAGGAACATGGGTGGGAACTGTTTATTTCCATTTACTTAGAAATGCTCCCAGCAGCAACTGTTGAAATAAAACCCTGAGTTGTAGAAGTTTAGTTCATTCAATAGAGAACTTCAATCACGAGTTTCTTTTAGGGAGCCACGTTTTTTTTTATGTCGTTATTTGAGTCATATAAGACACAAAACTAAAGATTTATATTGTAGAATGTGCCTAATGTTTTGCTCACATTTTACAGATGATGCCAAATTCAGAGCTAGTATGGGAATGGTTTGGGGATCGGAGTATAAAGTGTATTTCCTGGCTTTAGAATGTAGTACAGTTTCCACCACAGATTATGGAAAATGCAATTCCAAATATCATGGGGAGGGTGAAATTTATTATACATAAATTATGCCTCACAGCCTGATGTTAAAAACAAAGTATATGTTGTCAATGTCTCTTTGTACACAGGTCTGACTCTGAAGCCAAGCCTGCCTCTCTGTAACATTATCGTCACTCTGTGAGTTCTTTGGTCCTTTCGTAGTGTATGTTTGAGGAGGAAGCTAAGGCCTGAATGAGTTGTGTAGCACAAAGGCATTAACCATGGTGATTGGAAAGAAAAGCTTGCTCAACTCTGAGCCTGATGGGTCAAGAGCTTCTGGGAGTATTGTGTAAATTGGACTTCCCAATGAAATCAATCACTCCTCTCACTGTCACAGCCCAGCCAGTTCCTGCTTAGGGTCCAGGAAAGAAAGCAAAACATCCACCACTGATGAGAAAGGGACATTTGGTATTCTTGCTGGCTTCCTGGCTAATTACAAAGTGTTAATGACATTCAGAGGAAACTGGCATCCCTCACTGATCTACAAATAAGGAAGGGTAAGACAGAAGGTGAGCCAAAGAAAAGATATGGGCCTCTAGTAAAATGCCCAGCAAAGCCAATCAACCCGAATAATCACCAAAGAAAGGAAATAATTTTAATTTACAAAGAAAATACACATACCAGTAACTTAGAAAACCAGATCAGGCTGAGAAGGTGAGATTAGGTGAGATCAAAAGCTGTTAAACTAGTCATAACTGGGTTTTGGAACTCAAAGATTTGTTATGGCAAAACATTTCTCAAACTATAAAGGTCCATATGAAATATACACATTGAAATTGAGATATATAAGAGGAATTTGGAAATAAAAGAATAGAAACAAAGGAAATTGTTAACTTCTTCCTTCCTCTTGGGTATTGGGTAGGATCCAATGAGGTCTTTATGATCTACTACCAGACAAGATAGATCAGAGAATTCCTTATGTCTGGCTCCTACACAGAAAGATGGTAGAAGGTTAGAGTAAGATTTGTAGGTTGTATGGCTAGCTTCAGGGAAGAGGAATTCTAGTTTCTATGGAGTATTTGACATGAGGAGGAAGTAGCTGCAAGAAGAGCAGGAGAAGGTGAAAAGAGACTTTACTTCTGGGGTCATAACAAAATCCTTCAGTTCAATGCACTATACTTTGGGGTATTGGTTTTTGAGCCCCAACATATTCTTCATGTTTTAGAGACAAAATCTTATTCCTCACACTCTTTGTCTGTACTAAGCTTGTTGAAGGAAGGAATTCCACAGCTTCTCAATTAACTTTCTTTTTTTTTTCTTTAAGCTGGGTGCTGGTGGCTCATGCCTATAATCTTTTTTTTTAATTGTGAAAATACTATACAGAGGGGTTACAATTACATGGGCAAGATAATGAGTACATTTCTTATCAAGCATTGTAGCCTCCTCCTTTGTTTCCCCTTCCCATCCCTTCCCATCCTCCCCCCTCTCCCCCCTACTCAATGCTTCTCCCCCCCCCCACCAAAGTTGTAAAGTTCATTTTTGACATAAGGACTTGTACATCTCATTGTTGCAATGGGTCCACCTGTATCCCAATTAACTTTCTTGAAACTACTGTTCATTTTGTTATATTGATTCAGTATCTCTCCAGACTCTTTCAAGTGTTTTGGTTCCATTCTGTTCTGTTCTGTTCTATTCTATTCTATTCAGTTAGGAATTGAGTCCAGTACCAAGGCTCTACCATTTATCTGCACCCCCAAGGGTTTTCAATTTTTCTCCATTTTTCGTCTTGCTGATCTCCAGTTTATTGTATGGGGAGTTTTTGCATGTTACTTAGCTTTCCTTACACATGGTTAACATATGTTTCAGGGATAACATACACAACAATTTCTTGCAGTTCAATGATATTCATTTACATGGTGCTCAAGCTATTATGGAGGCCAAGGTATGAGTAAAAATAATCAACTGGGTTAGGTAAGTATCTTTAGAGGTATCATCTCTCCTCTTAGAAATGATTCACAAGAACCAGGCACCAGTGGCTCACTCCTATAATCCTAGCTAGTCAGGAGGCTGAGATCTGAGGATCTCAGTTCAAAGCCAGCCCAGGCAGGAAAGTCCCTAAGACTCTTATCTCCAAGAAACCACCAGAAAACCAGAAGTGGCACTGTGGCTCAAAGTTGTAGAGTGCTAGCCTTAAGCAAAAAGCTCAGGGACAGTGCCCAGGCCCTGAGTTCAAACCCCATGACTGACAAAAAACAGAAAAGAAATGACTTAAAAGGCTTTGTTTGGGCTTGAATTCCACAAGAGGCTATGCCACAGACATATCGTGTCCTACCTCATTTACTCACAGGGTGTACTGTATGATTCTATAGTACTTCCTCAAAGTTAAAGATCTCTCCAACAAATGGCTGGCAGGAGAAGGGAGAGACTGAACCAGGCAGAATGTTCTGGAAGATGTGTTCTATGTTTTTCTGCAACTCGCCCCTGCTTCACCTTGAAATGAAACCACATTACTTCAGAAAGAGAAAAGGAAGCCATGTTTAGGAACACAACCTCCACCCTTGTTAAATGCCTTTCCTGTCCTCCTTTCATAGTCTTCTTTCACGTGCTCATTGACTGTGGGAGCCCTCCTCCTACAAATGCTGATCTCTTTGCCCACATTGTCACTCTTTTCATCCCCAGAGTAACTCTGGTGTTCAGAGAAAACAACCCTATGGCTTATATCAAGAAGGGAGAAACAACCAATTGGTGTTCCCCTTGGCTGTAGACATTGGCCCATTTCCTGGGTTAGGAAACTCTTGAAAACCTTCTGCTTCTTCTAGGTTG